AGGCACTGATAGCACAAGACACATTATTAGAGAAAGTATAGTCGAAAGAACACCAAATTAGAGTTATTGGCTTAGAGGCGGCTAGTATTGGGATCCAGGACTTGATAGTGAGTGGTGATGTTCCCACTGAGACTGCAACCCATCATCCATCGCTTCTATCAGTGGGTTTATGAGTCACGAGAGCCACCTCTTGTGCAGTGGGCATTACTCAATAAAAGACCAAATAAGAGCGACCTACAAAACACTGAATGTTTTTATGAATTGCTTCAAAAACAATATCCTACTCCTCACTTCAATTTAAGGGTAGAATTTCGCCACTGTGCAGTTCCATTATAGTTCCTATAGTTCATACAATGAAACAGTATTGTTTACTGACAATATTTCTAGCAGAATTTATTGCTCGCATTCACATCCAGATGATACTGTTTTACTGTACAATACGCATAAATAATACAATAAAATCAAAAGAATATCTTCATTTGTACAAAGCAGTGCATATAAAGGCTGAGTTGCGGCGATTGCAATGCTGATTACAATTAGAACACTCAATATATTTTAGTTTCTATGAGATTGCACTTAGGGAAACACCTGTGATAACTGCAGACGTAGAGAAGCTTCAAATTTTATTTTCAACAGCTGTATTGACTGACTATAAAGTCAGCATTGCAAACCATTCAAATCATTCATGAACTATTCATCAACAAAAAATAAAATAAGACAACTGATCAAGGAATTCCGTATGACTATAAAGTTTAATGGATATAACAAAAATGAAAACTAGTCTGGACTATGTCTACTGATAAATTAATCATAGAATACTTGGATCTGCGCTATGAGGACCTGTGTGAATTGAATCATTTTTCCAATCTACTTATCTCATGAACATTTATCTCTGCCACAAGTTATACGCGTAAATACATAAATGCTGAGGAATAATAACGTAGACAGACCTGCAGTCACATCTGTTCACTTATCCAAAAAAAACGTTGATCAGAATATGTGAGGGAAACACCGATGAGTTTTATGTTGATCAATCACTTTAAAATGATGAATTTTATATTACCTAGTTTTAACTAAATTCTATCGATCATTTTGTGCTCAATAAGCTAGGAAACTCGAGATCATGGTGCAGTTTTATTGATGACATATTATAGGAGGCGGTTGGCAGGAAGCCATGAACCTCAGTTTTAGGCATTTTGGTACTCGTAAGTAAACCATATCTACAGCCTCAGCGGAAATGGTGTCTGGCCTGAGGTTCGGGCCCATATCACCCAGTGATGCAGTCAGAGACATAACTTAGTAACTGCACTACAAAGTGATCGGAACAATTCGGTCAACACTCAGAAATATGTGATATGAAATTGATCAATCTGCAGTTACCAATCAATATACATAACCCGGTGATACAGGAGGTTGTTCATGGCGTAAATGGCTCTGTCTACTGTCTACACCGAAGGCATTACCTGATTCCCTTGTGAATCCGTCATACGAAAATGTCCTTCCATTGTGATCAAGCCATCTATCCAGCCAGGTTCCTTACCTATCCAGATTAGGCTGAATTAGAGAGGTAGAGCATTGTAATGACCATCAATGTGACTGTCTGAGATAGTCATCGTTTGGCAGACTGTTGTTATTGATACCCGGTAATGATTGAAGTTGAAATGAAAAATACGTATATGCAAAGAATGCACATTAGTAAGATGAAATACTTACCTTAACTTGTTTGACGTTTATTATAATTATATGATTCTACTGCCACCAAGACACTGAGCTTGAAGGTTTTATTCACAGAAAGATGTTGATCTATCTTCGGCTACTTCGTTAACACATTTACATAACAGTAATTTCCATCTTCTTTTCATGCTTTCCAACATATGATTACAGTTCAACTCAAATTCATACTTTTCGACTTATTTTTGTCCCAAGAACCCAGTTTTCTGTCATATTATCATTTAACCTGCATATCCTGTAGCGAAATTTTAATATAATTAAAGTATCCTACTTATAAGTAACTGATATGTTTTTACCACAGTGTTCCCATCTAACTGTCACCGATGTTTCTGCGACTAGCGCAATCAGTCGGTAATCAAATGCTCATTTTGATTCTTTGCTGACTCTAGCTCACCTGTTAATTACCTTTATAGAACCTTGGACTTGAGCATACAGTTTATTTTATTTACCATTACATACAAAATAATATAATTTTTATCACAAGAGACCACAGTTACGTGTGCTGATTCAAATCGAACGCATTCTCCACCACATTAATTAAACGAAAACCTGCTTACCTGTTTGATTATATCATATTCAGAGTTTCAGCTTTACTTAATCTACTTATCTTGTTAGTAGGTTATGTATCTCTTAACTTCAAAATGTGATCATGATTATTCCTCGTTGGTAATGGCTGATACGAAACTCAAGAAGATTTATTGAATTTATTATGCCATAAAATCTCTACCATTGTTAATTCTTTCCAGTTTCGTGCATTGGGTTCAGTTCACCAGTATGTAAAGACCTTGTGACAGATTACTGGGTTTCTTTTATGAAATAAGGAAAATACAGATGGCTTTGGAAATCATTTAGACGATTGTGAAGGCGTTATTCAAAGTCAGCGGTCAGCCGGTGCGTTTAGACAGATAGCAGATTGCTTCTTTGACGGCTGTTATGAAGTGACAATAATATCCCAGAAAGTTGATATTTACTCAAACGGCAAACAATCTGATCTTCAAGTGTTCACATAGTGAACTCATTGTAACTGCACGTCAATGTTGCTCTTGAGATATAGTATGAGTCTCTTCGAACTGCTTAGAAACTTTTCAAGTTGAAAAGTCTTGATTGTCACTTTTCAGAACGCTTTAAATGAAAGTGAATATATCCAGCTGTTCTTCATGGGCTCTCCAGGGCTTTCTGTCAGCCTTTCCTTCATAAATCGCAGGAAGTCACGTTCGAATCAAGTGTATTTTCAAACTATACTGGAACCCTTATGTAACGTATTAAACATTATTTTGGGATTTAAATAGCCTAAAATCCCCACCAGGTTTTGAAATGTGGTGCTCCACTATTAGATTGGGGAAGGGGAGGTCCTCTATTCATTAGTGATTCTGTAAACGCCACATATGTATAGGTTTTGTTTTAGAATCATAATCATGACCCGTAGAAGCTATCTTCTACACTTTTTCCGTCTTCTATAACTTTAAGAAAGTAATATTAACGTCCTAACCCCTGGCTTTATTGATAAATGCTTAAACTTGATTTTCAGCCTTAGACAATAATAATTGACTGTAATCCTACTTTGCATTTCGTACACTCACAATTCCCCTTTTTAGGAGGATTCTATATTTATCAGCCTATAATCAAAACAATCGGATTTGTAGTTCCTTCCCGCCAAAAATCAGCACGTAGGTACAGTTTCATCCTTAACCTTTATATCTATGTTCAGTTAGAGAATGCCTTTTCTGAATGCTACATCACCGTCCCTTAATTTTCATTATTACATGGAACAGTTCCTTACCGCTTTTAGTACATTATGCCTTAGAGTTAGTGGCTATGAATTGTATGAAATGGTAACTGCTTAATGTTCTACTGGATGTTTGTGGAGAGTTCAGGTTGGACTGGGAGAAGTGGGAAATATAAGCTATTTGATTCCGACCCAGTGGTTCAATAGTAACTTGCTAGCCGCGGAAACTAGGGGGCCTGGATTCGACCCCTACTGAGTGTGCACCGATGAGAAGTCCCGTTCTAAAACAAGACAGCTGCCCAGTGCTCCCAAGTTTCCAGTGTTTCTCCGACTGATCTCAGTCCATGATGAACACTTACCAGTTTTTGGATGAGCTAATGCTTTTTGTTTATTGATGCTAATAGTTTCCTGTTGACTGTTATACTGGACCAAACTGATCAGTCTCTCTTAGTGTATGCTCTCCTTGAATGAGTGGCTCAATATTGCCTAGAGTTTCATTTTGATGTTAAGAAGAAACGTACGTACTGGATTCAAATGCTAATCACCACTAACTAAATACATCGAAATGAAGGGCACTTTTTTCGTCAGTTATGGCCCCTTAAACAGGTGGTTTAGTACCTCTTCATATTATCAAAGGAAACAATTCAAATGTCCACCTTCTTTGGATGTTATTAACTTTATACAGTCCTTCTTATCCAGGAGTTTGAGTGAAGCAAGAAAAATAGTAGTTAGAGAATAAGTATGCATATATTCTATGGATTTAAGATGCTCTACAACCTATAAAATAACATAGTTCTCAGCTAACCAAGATTGATGGAACTAGATGATGTTGTTAAGACTACTCGAAGGTTAATCATTTACGTAATGTTTGAATAAATATTCTAAAGAAGATAGGTGACTTCATAAATGATGGTTTTAACTGCTACAGGGTAAGATGCTAACCTTCCTTTATAGTCACAAGAAATTTTTGTCCGCTACTGCCTGTTTTAAAGTTGTTCCTTGATAAATAACAGCTCTCGAAAAGTGGATCCAAGGTATTAATTGAGTTACCGCTAAGCTTCCGTAATCTTTTACTTTTGAAAGCTTTGTTTTTGAGTGATAATTATTCTATGATTTAATGAAAAAGTTGCAATATGTACCTTTTTTGAATGTTATGCTGGTAATTGTGTCTAGAATGACAGTGACAGATTTGTCAGTAAACCAACCAGCCCTGGAAATGCAATATGACCAAAATCATAGTTTAGTTATACGACATTCCATATGATATCTGAAATTTTTATTTTTACTCGTGATTGATTTTTCACGATAAATTCTATACCTTCGCATATAATGAGTTGCACATGGTTTTACTCTCGCCTTTCCGAAAAATTGATTTTATTTCATTCCATTACAGGTCAATCACTAGTTTTCATTGATTATTTTGAGCATTCGCCTCTGTTTACCCTTCGTTCATTTTCTACCCTAACTTATCTTTGAATGAGGCTGTGTCAGCCAATCATATTTCAACATCATTAACCTTGATAAAAATAAGAGGATGTTGAGACAAATTTTTATCAAATGTATTCTCGATACATGCATAAAATGCGTAGACTATTGATGAGTTGGTCGTTATGCCGTTGAATGGCGTCACTGTTCAAGATCAATGTCATTCAACAGTGGATACTTTTTTATAATCCCCTTACTATGGTTTCTGAGCGTGTGTTCAAGCAGTAAGTTTTCCAACTTTATCCTACATTAAAGACACTTTCATGAGAAAAGAGATTGGATTGCTCTATTTTGGGCTTTACCGATTCGATTTTCACTTAGACATGTTACATGATATAATTGTTTTTAAAGTACATAACTATGTTGATAACTTTTACAATGACTGAAATAAACCATGGAAACCTAAATGATATTTACTAGATCAAATTCCAGTCACCTGTTTCGTTACCTAAGTACTAGTTGAAATTCTCTTTCATGAAGTCGTATTCTGTGAGAAAAGCAATGAAATTAAGCTCACAGTTAAAGGCCGTAAGCCCACCAAGTATTAACATGATACAACATGATAGCCCTGCTCAACATAGCTTAGGATGGTCCTACGAAGGCCTTCAGGACTTTGGTCAGGTACAATCTGAGTATGTATAAAACTGCATTCCAAACTATGTAATGAGGAATCAAGGAGGATTGAAATTTCCTGTGACAGTCTAAAAGTATTTCATAGAGGCGACTGACTCAAGGTTTTCGCCCTACTGTAGTCACCAGTTAAGTGAATCGTTTACTGACAGGAAATTCATATTTCTCAAGATTTTTTAATTAATGGTTCTAACTCTTGGCCTTTAAGGTTAAAACAAGCCTCCAGTACGGTTTCGTTTCTCATCCGGAGACGTCTTAGAATGATGAATACAGTAATGTTATTGTCTCCAGTAACGACTGTAGTTTGTCGACTAAGAAATGTGATGTAGCCAGTCAGTCTAGTCATTTTACCTGAGGTCAATCAGAACTAACCCTTTATATACCACTAGATGATTAGGTCACACTTCTTGAAAGAGTTCGTGAGCACATTTTTTCCTTTTTGTTATAGATAAAATCAATCTTTCGTAGTACATATTTTGAGTAGGGGGGACTTATAAACAACTCGTCTAACCAGTTTGATTTACTGGTAAGTATGACAGTTTTTCGCTTAAGTGGAAAGGTGTATCACGGGATGGCTGATCCAGTTAGAGTTAGTTAGAAAGATGTGAGCCTTATGGATGGATTACAGCATGAGATCGGTGGTATTATATTTTGGTTTCCTACACACGTATTTAATTTTACAGTTTAAGGTTTTCGCTTGCTTTGCATGAAATATGCCAAGTATGCTGGGTATGGATTTGGGCGTTCTTGTACTGATTTCATGACAGTGACTATTACAGAATTTCCAATGAAAAAAGTTTCCGACTCAGCTCTTATTCATCTCACTGTATGCTCATAAATGTAAGTATTTTATCAATAGAACACCTAAGGCAAAAATGACTTTGCTGCAGTAATTCTTAAGTAAAATTTGCGAAATACTGATGCTTTTCTGAGTATAAATACTTAGATAAGTAAGACTTATAGAAGTGCAGCTGGCGTTTTCTGGCGCTTTACTGTTTTGTAGAAGTTTATAAAGGAAATTAACTGTTTTAGCTTGTCTTATTCATATCATCTAAGCCCTTGACTGTTTAATATATATATATATATATATATATATATATATATATATATATATATATATATATATATATATATATATATATATATGGATAATTGGCATCAATGTGACTCACTGTTTTAATCTAAAATTCAAATCATCCAGACAAAAGGCAAAGTCGACAGAGTTCAGTATTCTTTTAAATATTCTCATCGTGAATACGACTTTAATTTACTCCTGTTTACAATGTTTTGATGTGTATAAATGGCAAAGTAATCTTTGTATGCCAGTTTTCTCAGTTTTGTTTTGGTGTGTTGTCTAAAAAAGATGGCGGTTAATAATTATAACAGGATGTGAGTAATAATTCCATCAGAGGGTGAAGACTTTTAAAGGATGTGGTGACTTATTTCATTTTTCATTATGACAAGTATTCATATCCAGTAGTCTTTGTATATAACTTATTTGTTATAACAGTAATAATAAACGGTTTCTTTCGAAGACTGTTTTATACAGTCTGAGATTTTCAGCATTTTTTAGTTCATGGGGAAAATTAAATTTAAATAATGGGAGACTGAAATAACAATAATGACGGTTATATATATGATAATGATGGGTAGTGGCTAGCAGTGGAATCCAGGATGCATATTTCGTCCTATTTGGGGCTCATGAGCTGGATGTACCTACCTTTCAGTGAGTGATGTTATTCCCACCGGGTTTCAACCTCGGGACCAATCGCTTCAAACGCCAGAACGTTATCCGTTAGACCACTCAGCCATGATAGCCACTTCTTGTGCGACGGGTATAGTTTTAGTATAATTGCTTGTATTATACCGTCGTTGACTGGACCTAATTGATCGGTCTTTGACGCGTCCCAAATAGGACGAAATGCGCAACCTGGATTCCTCTGCTGGCTACTATCCATCATTACTATGTATGCAATTAAAAACACGGGCAATATCGAGGCATCCACGCAGGAGCTCATATGCCAATAGAGACTGATCAAATTCGGTCTAGACAACGACAGTATAAGACAAGCAATAGTAATAATGACGGTTATAGTTATAATAATGTTGCTAACTCATGACGTAAAAGTTGGATGAAAACAAAAAGGGTTACTTATGATTTCTGAAGTCGCCAGTAGGGTGAACATAGATTATAATAGGGTGAAAACACACTAGAGCTAATAAATAGTCAAAGGCTAAGATGATATGAATAAGACAAGTTAAAACAATTAATTTCCTTTATAACTCCGACAAAACAATAAGATGTATATTGTCTGGACCGTGTGATGTATTTGTGCAAAACATTTCGAACAATCTCATCACAAACACACTTGTCGTAGGTAGTTATATGAAAATTCATAACGATAAGCAGTGAGAAAATGAAAAGAGCTCAGGTAGGAAGGATGGATTAAAGGCCAAATAACAATGAAAATTAATAGAGCGAAAATAATAGTACATTGACCTTAGTTTCAGAGTTGAGTTTACCAAAAGAGATTTGATATGATAACGAATTGTTTAACAATTATACATATATAAATCGATTATCATTTCGACTATCTGGGTTAGCCAAGGTTTGTCAGAATAGTATTTATAGTGGATGATGATTGAGGTTGAAATGAAAACTTGAACAGTGGCCGGACTCGAACTAGCGATCACCGGGTTTCCGGCTGGGTCCTCTGTCAACTAAGCTACCAGGCCTTACTGCTGACCAGATTTTTATCTTACTTCAATCACCGAGGATTTTGCCCACCTACCATGTAAATTCATGATGCGATACTACCGCTCGATCGTACTCACACGAATTCACATAGTAGTCAGGCAAAACTCTTGGTGGTTGAAGTGAAATAAAATCTGGCCAGCAGGAAGGCCTCATAGCTTAGTTGGTAGAGAATCAGGCCGGAAATTTGGTGGTCGCTGGTTTGAATCTGGTCACTGTCCAAATTTTCATTTCACCTTCAATCATCACCCAGTATATATATATATATATATATATATATATATATATATATATTTACCCGTGAGAAAAATTAAATTTAAAAATAGGAGATTGAAATAAAAATAATAACGGTTATGGTTATGACACTGTAATGTTTCAACACATTTACTCCTTGTACATGATTTTAAAAAGAAGTAATTATGATAAACTAACTTAATAGTGACAGTATTACAGGCATTGAAGCAACCAGCTGCATTTGAAAGTCCGTTGTCATCTACCGTGATGTTTTTTCCTCATTCTATTATTAACTTGCAAAACGGTATGTTGAAACCATCTTAAAAATACTCAAGAATATATTATATTTGAAGACATATTTTAATGTTTAAAACATGCTCAATCTCATGTGATATATCTGATGGATAATTTTTGGTTGCTCAAATTTCAAGCAGGCCACTGTTGTTCCGAGTGACTTTAAAGGCTACCGTAGCAACTACTGAGACAGCCAATCAAATTTTTCTATTTCTGTTGGAAAGTTAGTTGTTCTATCATTTGGAAACCTTGTTGCCGATTGCTGTTACTCATAGAGTGGTCTGGAGAGTCATTTTCAGTTTCCTTACTCCCTGTGATATTGCTCGGAATGTCTTTTAGTCATGGTCACGTATGATATGGAAAAGTGTGTATCACAACTGCTAGTAGTTAAGCTTATAGGATTTCTGCACCCATTTAAGCGTATTTCAAAATGACCGATCGATTTTGGTCAACAATGAATAAAAAACCACACGAAATTGTTTACCCTCCGGTTACCAATCAATTTATCTAATCCAGTCATACAGGAGGTTAGTCACTGACCGAGTGGCTCTGTGTGATGCATGTTCGAATCCCTGAGGGCATATCAGTTCCGTCTTGGCAGCAGATACACTATGTTGACGAGGGCTAGCAAACACGATTCCAAGGTTCAGAGTTTCCTGCCGATTGTCTCCATCCGATTAACACATTTCATGTCACTAGAATTCAATAGTTGAACCCGATACTATATATTGTTATGTGTTTTGCGTATTGACATAACTCTTCCGAGTAATGATGATAGTTATTGGTAGTTCTTCTGTTAGGTGATGTTATTGGCGGTGACTGATTTGAAGATAATTTCTGTCAATTACTTATATCAGTGGTTCGAGAATTATCGGAAGTGTACTGCACGTGATTGATACACAGTACAGCTCAATATCTTCGAATCTCCAACACGTATAAACTACCAGGTTGGAATGGATTTGTGCATGGTTCTACCTTCAGTCATTTTAAGGCATAAGCCAACCATCATTAAGCTTCACCATTGAGCATCCACTCTTATTCATGATTTTCTTGCCATCATAAGTCATGACTTTATACTCGAATTCCAGAAATTGAATCTTGAAGTTGGTTAGGATTTACATTAATCTAGTTTTCAGGTGACTGATGTGTGAGGAATAAATTAGTTTGAAAATAGTATTTTTTTCTCTAAGCACTTGCTGAGGTTAGAAAATTCTTAATCATAAAGTTAGTGTTAGAACTCAATCTATGAGAAGCTTTGAATATAAGTTGCACTCTTGTTGGTACTAGTTAGCATGGCGTTTCCTCAAATTTAGGCAAACCCAACTTCTTTTAGAGATTCAAATCTTCATCACTCAGTGCTGAATTCACAGACGTTTACACTAAGCTTTTTTGGCCACAACTAACTGATCATTGGATGGTGATGGATGTAGCTGTAGGCTCTTGTGAGCTGGGTATTGATCGACGTTTATTCATCAAGTTTAAGTTCAATGCAAAACATCCGATCACATTGTTAACTTACGACTTTATGTCAGTGAAGCATTGAATGAATAGATCTTTTGTGATACCAATGTCTTAAAAAGCTGAGATATTTGATGGCAGATGTCCTCAGAGAATTGAAAGATGTCATCTCCATTGTTTCAGCCATCTTATTAAATGGAGCAAACTGAATTACAGAACTGAACGATATTTCTTCTTATTATTATTACTAAAAGAAAAAATGAATTTCTTACTGTCTTACCAAGATCATGTAGAAACAGAAAGCAGTATGGAGAAATCGCTTATTCGTATGATTTTACAACGTTATAAACAAAATGGTGTTGTTGGCCGACCAGTCAATGATAGTCGAGTGAAAATTGTTGTTCAGTATGGTCTTCAGTTGATCCAACTGCTTGGGCTTGACGAGAACAAACAAGTTTTAAGAACAAACTGTTGGACTATGTATGTAAGTTATGAATCAACATTTATATCTTTTTGATGGTATTTATTAAAAGTCACCGTCATAACTTGCATATAAATCAACCAGTCTTATACCGATGTTAATGATAATCATTTGCTGTAGAAAGATGGTCATCTGGTCAACACATATCTTCATCTGACTAATAGACTTCATCTTTTCTTTTATATAACACAATCTTTCATGTATTTGAGAACTGTAAGATATGTAAATTATGTCAATGATTTAATTTAGAGGTTTTTAGGGTACTGGTTTATTTCAAAGCAATTTTTCCCATAGGTCGATACCAGTTAGAGAATGGAAGTGAAACAATACGATAGTGGACAAATTGTTTGTACTAGTATGCGGATCTTCTGCAGTATGTCTCAAATATCCTGTACAGGATCGATACGTAGGTAGTAAGCTCTCGTATCGAGTACGTGACTATCCAGCCCATGAGTTAGAGATTAATGACTTAATATTCGCAGCTTTTGTCATCTCGAAATACTGTGCAGCCAGCAACATCCAATGTCTTTGCTGCGTTTTTATTCTCATGAATAAATTGATTGAACCTAGATGTTTTGTAACTGCTAGTGATTAAAGAATCACTGAATATGAGCGACGTAGTGCTGAATGTCCAGACTGATGGTGATTTAAACTGGTTTTCATCTTGGCAAGCAGTACTTGCACAAAAATGAGACTTTCATAAGCTTTAATATCTCCTCAAGATGGTTTTCATCACTGCTTTAAACCAGATGCCCAAACCATTGAGAACTGTTGATTGTTTCATTAACAAGTTGGCAGCGTTTACCCGTCTCTGTTCTACAAGGGAAGCTAAAATTTGTAGAGTAGGAATAGATATGACTGATAATTTTAACTCCTGGATAAATCATATTTACTTCGAAAGGTAAGTAATTCAAAATGTTACCAGTTAATATTCCTAAACTTGGCAGCATAATGATCGATAAACATTCCTGTAACCAGATTTCTTTTTTATATTAATTATATCAGAGATGGAGCGATTCCCTGTTGAAATGGAATGCAAGTCAATTTGGTGGTATTTCAGAACTGAGGATATTCCCTCATCAGATATGGACGCCTGATATCAAACTCTATAATTTGTAGGTTTCGATAATACTTTGAATGATACAATTCTTTGATTTTCAGAATTTCAGTAGTACTATACTTTCTTTCTTAAACAAATACACTTAACGTATTGGAAAGTACTGGTGGCGTTAGTCGGAAGCCCCTAAAAGTGACTTATAGGAGCCATAGGAAAGAGATTAACTGTATAAGCGGTAACATGAATATAAACAAAACTGAAACAATACGAAACCTAGGTCAGATTTGACTTTTCTAAAGGAAAGTACTGTCTAGTTTATTTCAACGATGAAAAGTCTGAGGCCTAAATGCGGCTCATAAATAGCAAATCAAATAATTCAATTTTGTTGGGAGCATAGTTTTTTTCGCAAAACAAATTACCCTAGTTGATTATTTCAGTAGTTGCTAGGGGTGGTGTTAATTTTGAGGAAGTACAATGAAAAAACGAGTTAAATCTCTAAAAAGCTCTAAAGGTCACCCTTACTAGTACTGAAAATGAAGATTCGACTCTTTTACAGGACGAAATATCTGTTTTTCTATCTCAAAAGTACACAACCAGTCGTCTATTTAGATATTTGTTATCACACTTCATTTTGTCTTTAATTATTTAATTTTTGTAAATTACAGTGCCGATGAACGTTTGCAAGAATTTCGAGATGGGCGTCTAGTAGTAGACAGCAGCGGTAATATACTATGGATTCAACAAGCATTATTTAGGAGTACGTGTCAAGTTGAAATTACTTATTTCCCGTTTGACAGTCAGGTTAGTGTATAGGCTTTTCTTTTTTAAACCATTTTTTTAAATGTCGAGTGCATTCCACAAACTGTACCAAAATGTCAGTGAGTTGACAGATATGAGGCACTCAGATATGGCATATAAACTTTTCATATTATCATAACTGTGTGCTGTCTGTGATATTACTCAAACAACTGAAACGGAGCATTTATTCGTCTCATGGGATCACCAACACATCATATTTGTTTCGTATTTCAGCTTACTAAGCGACTGGGTCAGTTTATTTGTTTTCTTATAGCAGCTGCTGATCATGAAAATGTTGTTTCCTTCCTAACCCTAACACTCAAGTGTACTACTAGTTTACCTACCAGGGATTTAAACATTCAGACAAAGGACGCGGACAACACCCAGATTTCTTGCCAAAGGGACAAGAAAGCATGCGGATGGTAAGAGCATGTGATTACACTTGATGACCTCTCGTATCCGCAGGCTGAGCGTAAAGTGTCGGATACGCCTTTTCTTGCTTCTGATTTTGTGGAAATTTCCTCACATTAAAACCTGGTCATTTGCTCTTTATTAGATTGAGTAAAGTGCAATGATCAGCAACGAGTATTCTAGCCTAATTTTGATTCCCGAGAAGTAAACAGGTTATCACACCTCAAAATAAAGTCACATCTTACATAATAACTATTTAAGTTTACTGAGAAACATATTTCTAAGTAGTCAAACCATCTTTAACGGCTCAAGTTGATAGAATGACTGCTTACCAGAGATTGGTAACTTAGATGAAACCAAATAATCCACTGCAGCAGGATTTGAATTAATGAAGTACATGTCAAGGGCTCATTACATCATTACTTGAACTTCAAGGTCCAACCTTATACAAGTTTAGAGCCTTGTATCACCAGCCATTTCAGTTGACTGTCATGGGAGTGAGTGACATAACCGTTCATTCTCAGTTTTACCTGCTATTTTGTCACTCTTTCCCTTTCCACTCTGAGATGAACTGAATTAAGTAGGTTTGTCTTTAATTCACTGAACTGTTGATTTACTGCTTATTATTTCATTTGCTTCATAACCTATTCTTGTATTTTTCAAGTAGGTTAAAAAGGACTGTTTTTTTATCCATAGGTGTGTATGCTTGAATTTGGTTCAATGGCATATGACAAAACCCAGTTAGATCTAGAATGGTGGATACCGGATGGGAGTGATACACCTATGCCCTACGTGGACTTCTCAGACTATGTGCCCGCAAATGAATGGTTCACAGATGGAGAAGCAGAACGGCATATAAGACATGAAGATCGGGTACATCAAGTAAGTGAAGAATTCATGTTAATTTTAAGAATATTCCATTTGTTTCTAAACTAATCAAATTATTTTTTTAGCTATAGAAGTCTAAGTTCTGTACAAATTGCTCTTTTGAAGGTAGATGTTTTTATCGCCTATTTGTCACTGGTGACTTAAGGTCAAGTTAAAAATATAAAATTAAGTTCTCTATGAAAAATTAAACGGCACAAAATTGTATTTAATCTGATCCGAACTTTTTGCATCCGATTTTTTCCCGGCAATGTTTCCTAAATACCAGGGCACGTTTGATCGCCGGTTGATCGAAAGTAACTGAGAAAAAGAGAAACTGTTAACCAATTTTGGCAGCTAAGCGTGATCACTAGCGATCGAAAGTTTCATTGTGGAGAAGAATTATTTGTGTAAAGCCAATATAATTTTCAGTTTTAGACATCGATGGCGACAGTATCAAAGATTTCCGGCTTACACTAGTGACCAAACATGATTTCGAAAAATCTCTCATTAGTTACTAGGCCTGTTGAACTATATCAGTGGGTTGACACTTGTATGGTGACTTGGTTAGGCAGTCATCAGTGGTTAACTTTCCATATCCTACTAGTTCCCGGTATTTTCGAGTGAAGTTCTTTGTCTTAATCTTCACTACCCAATAGTTTCTGTTCTTGCTTATTGTAAATTATGTTGGGTGAGCAACGTGCTGTTTTATTAGCTAAGCTGGTAAAATTTCGTTGCTAGTTTCCATACTGGAGATCACAAAGTCATCGCAGTAGAAATTCGTTTACGTCTTAAAATTTGCAATGAAATTCCATGTCAATTCTTTTTCCTAACAATAACATGTGACATGAAGAAACTTGTGACAGTTTATCAACTGAGTTTATAGAACGTAATACCATGGGATTACTAGATTATCAAATTATCACAGGAAAATAAGTAAGGGGATGTATTCTTACAGGGAATTCATTTTGATATGCATTTTGATTTTGCAGTTAAGTAAATCTCTCAACAGAAGAACGAATCCCAAAAACTTCATTAAACTATTACCTTTTAAAAAGAAATCTAGAGAAAGCCTGATGCCTAGCTGAACTTGAACCAGGTAAAGGAGGAAGAAGTTTAGAAAAGTTTATTCTAACCAAATTAAGTAAATAATACAAAATTCGAATAGAAATCATCTTCACGCAAAATAAATCATTCGAAGGATAAGGACACATTCAACGTATCCCTAAAATTAGAATGAGAATCTTTTGTGGTGCTTTCAATTAGCTTTCAGCACACAACTTCAAAGGTGACCTGTCCTACTAACAGCTTTGTAATCTACACTGGTCATTTTTTGACCCATCTTTCTAATCGACAATGAATTTAATTATAAATATAAACCGAATTTCTGTTTGTACAAATTTAAAAATGTTTTTCAGCACATTTATAGGATCCCTTTTTTATGTTTGTTGAAAGCTGTGAGTTTACAATGACGATAAGAAATCCATCAATTTCTGGTCTCATTATAGAAGTCAATGAAAAGTTGGTCGATATGTCATCTGTTCGACCTACCCATTATTCCAAACAACAACTGCAAAGGTTTGATGGTCTTTAAATAGTTAATTATGAAAGGCTCTAAATACTCATTAGAAACTTAGTGCTTTAGTTCAGTGTATTTAAAAAACACTTCTCAATTGTTCAAAAAACCAAGCAATAAACTCAATATACAAAGTCGTATGTCAAAATTTCCTCATCACAGATATGAATTAGGTAGCTGCATTCATCAGGTATTAAAATTTCCTTCATTCTACCAAAGTCTAGAGGAAATATGGAAAAAATAACTAGGTGTGTATGCTTTGCCTGAAGCGAATTACCCCTTATATTTTTCCCATTCAGTAAAAAGACATCAAATTAAAATACTATTACCTATTAGTAGGTGAAGTTACAAGATGCCACACGTCATATCACCACATCAAAGGTGAAAGAGGAAGACAGACAGAAGTAGTAGGAAGTCGAGAAAAGTGGACAAGCAAGCACGAGCGAGAGAGTACTGAAATTCAGCAGGCTGACTAAGATGAAGATAACATGTGGATCCATCTGCACCACTGACAGCAATCCTTAGCCATATCACCTAGAAGCTCCAACCACTGGTTTCTGGTGTCACACAGATCCCAACTACGAAGTCTACGTTGTCCTACACGGATCAGAGCAAGAGTGAGAGACTTCATGCAACGATGTCATGTTTTAGCCTGATCACCTCTAACCATTTCACAAATGGAACCTGCTTCGACTAACATTGTGTGACGGGCAGATGGTGAGTGGTATACGCAACGCATATCCCTGCCACCTGAGTCGATGGAGATTCACAATCTCATCGACTTGCTTTCCTATTCTCCCTAGAACCTTACACCTTACTCCTAGGTTAGTGATGTGATGGGAGAAGGAAACATTGTCTATGCCACAAAGGGGATAGTGATGGGAAAGCGGAAACTTTTCTTATTTTTACCACCTTTAATGACCGTGTTTCTCATTCATATGATCAAACAAAGCGATATGCATCACAGTACACCTAACCCTTATTAGGCAATTGGACATCACGGTGGTTCAGTAAATGGGGTGGACTGGTTAAAGCAACGTGAACATTTTGTATCCGTTAAGAGATTTCGTCGGCCACTGATCTGACAGGGTTGATCCTACTCGTTATGTAAGTAAAGGGGTCAACGCGCCTAATTATTTTACTCCCCATTGTCAGACAAGACACAAGCAAAGTCCAATTCTGGAGCAACAGTTTGCATTTGAATAGTGAGAAATGCACCTCGAGTATTCTCAAATTGCTGCTCAAGGTATCCAATAGACTCTGCATCTTGTCAACTTCCTTGTTTAACAGGAATATGTCACCTGCATACTCTAGATCTACCAGAAATTCTACTGTGATAAGATCAATCCCTGTAAAGTTAGATGACGAAAGGGAAACCTTTGTAACTGCTTGTCCGATAAAATTAAATGAGAATGAAGACATTGGACACCCTAGATAGACACTAATCGAAGTATTAAACTTTCCTGACAACCCATGCCTTCGAATGTTCAAGTGTAGGACCTTCAACAGAGTGATGTACTTATTCGGTACCTCCTTTCAGTGAGAGACACTAACGTGAAACGTCTTGGTTGACAGATTAAAATGCAGCAATCAGGTGGGGAAACGCAGCTAGTCTTAGGCATTGGTCAATATGCTAGTGTTGGAGAAGCTGACAGAGAGTCAATATCCAGTCGACGCACCTTCACACAGGCTTGAAACTAACGAGGTTTTCTGTTGCCGGGCTCCACTCAGACGCTTGATAGTAATAGAACCTAGAATATTGAGCACTATGTTTGCCGAGCTGATCCTTTTGAGATTATTACAAGAAGACTTCTAACCTTCCTTGAAGACCGGGACAACCAATGATTAGGAGCAGTCAGAGGATATCGTATTTAACTTCTAAACACTAGTTAACTCCTCAGTTAGCCTGACCAGTAATTCCCTATCACCCACCCACAATAACTTCACCGCTGGAACGTTTAGTCCTGCTGCCTTTCCTCGTTTCGGGGGACCTTTAGCCTTCTTAGATTCTGTAAGTATCGGTGGCTGTACTTTCAAATCCCATTCAGCATCCGGCCGGATAGCGGGCAACGGACTAGTAGCTAAAAGCTAGTCGAACTGTTCCTCCAGCCGTCTTTCATATGTTTTAATCTAAGACTCATCCTTCTCTACTATGGTCCAACTAACCATCAATATTTTTGCGCCAGTTTTCGTGATAAGTCCTGATAACTGCATGCAGTTACCTATCATCACAGCCTTTTCCATAGCTTTTTGCTTGGCTACCCGCCATAGTTCATGGTCATTGCGTGAAGATTTGAGTTGCTTCCGATCTTCATTCTGCTCAGAGACTGCGGGAATGCTTTTGTGTGCACTCATTAATTCAGAAGAAGCTGCTATGATCCCATGGACCTGTCTAACCACTTTCTGTGAGTTGGATAGCGTCTTCAAAGCTGTTTTCACAGCAGATTGCAGATGGCTCCAAGCTCCTTTCGGATGACTGAAATTTTCCTCTTCCGATAACTGTTTAGCCAGTTTTTCACTGAAGGTAGCCTTATTGCTCTTACTACGGAGCTGAATTCACAATAGTCTTGTTTCCGTAGTTTTTCTACGTCCATTCAGGAGCAGATATACACCTACTCGATCCAAAGCATAGTCACCGTCCAAATAGTGCTCCAGAAGGAGCAGTCGTCTTCCACTGACCCTCTCCAGAGATAACTGATAGCAATATAGTCTGTTTCAGTCCATCTATCTGTTGAGGATGGTGCACACCACGTCAGACAAAGTCTGTCTTTATGTTTGAAGTTTGTGAGAACTAGCAATTAGGTCTCAAAAAACTGCAAGGGTGAATTTTAGAAAATCCTTAGATGAGCTGGGTGAAGTTAGGTGAATAACTACACTTGGATTCCGAATGTCTGTCTTGGAAACGCAGGACACATCCATGAGGCGAGATGCTAGAGTTTTGATTAGTTAAGGTTCTTGGTCGCGTTGACAGAGGATGCGGACATTAAAAGTTCAATATGCAGTTTCGAGTATGATTTCAGGAGACCAGTAGTGATGTCCCCTGAACTCACGTCTTTGTTAAAAGTTGTAGAGCTTGAAGGCACTGAAGATGACTTTGGACTATTGACCCACAGACCTGAAGGAATTTTCGAATGTAAGGACATTAAAGGTGAAGAGTTATTTCACCGGACTTGAGTGCTGGTTAATTTGTGAGAGCGGTTGACACTTCTCGTCTGCCCACACCGTTAAAGACTAGTTCCTCGTGTGGTACCCGAAAAAATGTTTATTGCGGAACTGTAGAGCCCAAGATACACCCCCTTGAAGCTGGTTTCACCCTATTTTTTCGGGGGGTTGAGATTTTGGTTCGTTAGTTTCGAATCCGACTATCACCGCTATCGATATACAACAAGATAAAGGGGAGCCTGCTATTTTTAGGGCAGACCTTTTCGAAACTCTCGTTCAATAAGAAAGGTAGCATTAGCGTGGCACCACCAATCATCCCCAGGAATCACCTTACTGCTGTCACACTGTCCAGTCAACATTACAACTTCTCCCTCTGACTCCAATCATATCGTAGCGCTTTTCACTGAAGAGACCATTTTTTTGTTTAACCCCTATTCAAGAGGGTAGGGTCTCAGGTGAGCAGGTGTTCCACCAGGATAGCTCTTTGTGTTGTCGTGATGTCCAAGCCCGACGACCATATGAAGGCAGTAGATATTGACCTAGCAACAAGTAAGAAGCATGTAATGTTTAATATCTTCATAGTATATAAATTAACAAAGAAATCAGGCAGTTATGAAAGGCGCTAACCAATATTTTAGAAAGATTATTTTTGCCAAAGAACAAAAATTTGCTGACCATTTGAAAAGAATGGGCGACTATAAATATCCCACTAATCAATCTGTAACTTATGTAAGCTCACACTTACTTTAGGGCAGATATATGGAAATATCAGGATGTGTACCAGTTAAGGTTCTTCCATTTATTCTAAACAGTAACTGCCTAACTAAGTAATTTTGGTTAAAAGTGCACCGAGATCTGTCCAAACAGGAATTTGGCTGAGGTATGATCAGTTGCATACCACTTATTCAAATGAAAGTCTTGTTAAGCCATCGGTAATTAAGTGGAACTTAATAAATGGTGAGGAGTTGGATTGTGTATCACCATCAGCAGAATTAATAATTAGTGGTCTTAAGTTCAAATTCAGATTGTTTTCCAACTTGAATCATCTTTATGTCTTGTTTTTTCTTTAGAAATTAACTTTGCCCCTTAGAATCATTAGTACACTTTTATTCTCCTTTTCTTAGTTACGTTCAGTGAAAAGATATCGAGTTAGAAAACACTTGTTTGGATCAACAAAACATGATAGATACTATCCTGTCCTACGTTATTTAATACGTATCTATCGAAATCCAAGTTTTCATCTGTTCATCCTAATTGTTCCATGTTTATTGTTATCATTGTTGAGCTTAGTTGTATTCTGGTTACCACCAGATTCATCGGCTAAAATGATGCTTGGTAAGTTGAAGTAGTAATATTTTGTAAAGTAACTAATTTCTAAAATCTTTGACCGTAATATTAGTTGTCAAGCTGCTAGAACTTTATTATTAATGACATCAAAGTAAACAAGCGATAAGTTTACTTCATACATAAACATGAATTATATCTAAAGATAATCTGTAGTTAACGATAAAGTATCATTCTATGAATTTCGTCGTAAAAAAGCATTCAACAAAGAGTCACTCTGTTCACTTAATCCATTCTGAAACTGTATAATCGCATAAATATTATGTTTGCTTGGCAACAGAAAAGTAACGTTTCGTAACAATTTTTTAAACACAAAGTCCAGTTTTGATTATAAATGAAGAGATGGGAAAAAAATTCATAATGTCCGAAATGATAATGCGAAGAAGACTTATTGAGATCGAAGCGATATTAAGTAACGAGGCTGAATGATGTATACAGTTGAAGGAGTTGATGAATGTAATGAAAAATCAGAATTTTAATTGTGGAAGGGTGTGATGTGTGAGAAGACGTGATATACTAGTTAGCAGGTAAAAGAAAAGATTTCGTTTTTACAGGTAATGTCCACTGTAGATTGGATGAGTGAACAGAGTTCTTTTGAATGAAAGACTCAGGCTTCAAAACATGAATTGTCATGGTTTCTGCAGTTTGAAGAAGTGCCAGGTGTACAGCTTCCATGTGGTTTGCACAAACTCTGTTGATAACGCTGAAGCTGCTTTTTACCCACTGGGTGATGGGTGATCTAGATGCTGTCCTTCTTCCTTTGTAGAAGGATGTTGGTGTATGTTGGAAAATAAGTTTAGAAAGAGAGCGCTGATTCCTAAGAATAGTAAATGGATAAAGAAAAGAAAACTGTCGATTTGGAAAAGTAATTATCTCCACAACTATCAGAAATCTTCATTCAACTTACCTGTCCTACAAAAGCATTTCGGACCTGTGAAATAATGATAGAAAGTAATCCGAAATTAAAGCATTTTGGTTAGGTTTTCAAGATATCTCGCTGAATAATCTAAATCCGATAGAAATAATGACATAAGTAATGTTAACCAGTCATGTTAATGGGATTTTATAGTCACGATCATGTGATATTCCTCAGTTCATTAAGTTAATTTTGTGCGCATTGATCATATAAAGGTTGAATTGACTGGTAGATGAAAGCAACCTGCTACCATTTAGTTAGCAATTAAAATCTATCATTCATCTTATTTGACACGTTAGCCATTAATATAACATTGTTTGCCAACATATCTTGAAGCTTGAACAATGACCTTCGAATCCACCGATCAAGGTTTATTGGGTCCAAGAATTCAGCTTTCAAGCAGTGAGTCCTGTCTACTTACCTATCGCCTCCTTCGAACTAGACAATCAAGTAGTATTATAAACCGTAACATTGTAAGTGTAGTGTAAGAACATCTCTACCAGGTTCAGGTTCACTTCTTTTTTTGATTCTGAAAAACGGAAGAAGCGGTAAAACGACAACAGATTAAGTGATAAACCAAACTGTGCAGTGGCCGTTTTTATCCAAACATTTCAAAGTGGGGATTCCCTACTGGCTTTGTCTTAGAACCAAAACTCTGGTGTTAACGACTAGTTGTGAACCATTTTAATGACTTTGGGCTTCTTTGAGGGGTATGGGCAGGTTGAGAAAGAAGTATTCTGTTATGTGGAATAAAACAAATGGTACATTTGTAATCATTAGTATCAATCTGCGGTGTTAACTGTATTTTATCAACCAAGTTTATGTCATGTGACTATTGAGCTGGGTAACTTTGAAACGCTCAGATACAATTCAAACAAAGTATTAAAGTTACGCCTTCGTTGTTGTTGAAATCCGTCAGTACATTATTTCTAAAATTTGTCACAGACTGATCCTTACTAAGTGAGGTTTCTTTAAATGTTTTCTTTTTCGGAGGTTATATACGTCTTCTCTGTGACTAACTACGGAGAGAAAAGGTATCTTAATCAATGCTTTCTGATAGTTTCTTACCTGATTAATGTACAGATTGATACTGTGAATAAGCCTGAAAATATTTTACTTGGAAACTAATTCAGCTGGATAACATATTGTCAATACCATTAAGGTAGTCACAATTTTTTCATACAATTTAATTAGCTAATAAAGAGAAGCGAACTGAGGTTATACTTTATGCTGAGGTAATAAAAATATGAAAATTCCTAGTTGACTGAGTTTAATTCTACTGTAACCCTAAATGCAACATAGGAAAACTAACCGAACTGTTCAGCTGCAGTCACTCAATGTAGGCAGTTGTTTAGCAACCGTCGTATAAAGAGTCTAAACTCCACTTTACTTCTCATTGTTTGAATAACAAGTGAATATTATTTCATTGAGTAGAACAGGTACAGCTGAAAAGCTAGTGCGAAAACTGATATCTGACTGCTAAAATGCATGACTTTCCGTCAGACACTCTGTTCAGAAAGATAACCACTCAGAATTTCTTGAATGCACACCTGTAATATGAAAGAAAAAAGGAGGCATTCTCAGGTCAAAACTGTTCTTCAAGTGATAAAAGTGATAGACGATAATATTAAAAACCTGGTGTAATTTACATATATTATCCAGACAGACTGACAAAAGCAAATAGGTATGAATTAGTGGAGTTCCAGTGACAAATTTAACGTCTGGTATGACAATAATGTGTTTGTCAACCAAAGCCACAGCCCAGATAATCGGAAACACACCATTTGCATTCACGAAGCGAGTGATTTTTGATCGAAGAAGTTGTGTAGTCTTACTAGATTGGTCATTTTTTGTTTTTAAGTTACCTTTTCAATGAGACCAAGTGAATAATCCGAACTATTTCTATTATTTGAAATATCTAATGCCGATAAATTATTATTTCATGTCACTACTCTCCTAATTTATCAAGGACCATCAACCAACCAGTTAGCATCAACATTAGGTTTGAAATTGTCAGGCAAAACTACAAGATGCCACACGTCATATCACCACATCAAAGGTGAAAGAGGAAGACAGACAGAAGTAGTAGGAAGTCGAGAAAAGTGGACAAGCAAGCACGAGCGAGAGAGTACTGAAATTCAGCAGGCTGACTAAGATGAAGATAACATGTGGATCCATCTGCACCACTGACAGCAATCCTTAGCCATATCACCTAGAAGCTCCAACCACTGGTTTCTGGTGTCACACAGATCCCAACTACGAAGTCTACGTTGTCCTACACGGATCAGAGCAAGAGTGAGAGACTTCATGCAACGATGTCATGTTTTAGCCTGATCACCTCTAACCATTTCACAAATGGAACCTGCTTCGACTAACATTGTGTGACGGGCAGATGGTGAGTGGTATACGCAACGCATGTCCCTGCCACCTGAGTCGATGGAGATTCACAATCTCATCGACTTGCTTTCCTATTCTCCTTAGAACCTTACACCTTACTCCTAGGTTAGTGATGTGATGGGAGAAGGAAACATTGTCTATGCCACAAAGGGGATAGTGATGGGAAAGCGGAAGCTTTTCTTATTTTTACCACCTTTAATGACCGTGTTTCTCATTCATATGATCAAACAAAGCGATATGCATCACAGTACACTCAACCCCTAGTCGGCAGTCGCATACTAAACCACTGATGTTCATCGCTTTCCGCTTAGTTTCTTAAGATTTTATCTTATGTTGAACTAAGTGAGATATGACCTTTAAAAGCTACTAAATTCATGCTATGCAGCACTGTTCGTCCTGACCTCAGTCCTAATAAGAATGTTATATAGAATGAAGTATTTGTCCGAGTGATATCCATCGATTAAGAAAGCTAATTTCAAACCAATCACTTCCCAATAAACTATTTATGTATCATAGTTTTTAAGAGCGATAATTGCACTTTATAGCCATCAGTTAAACATGGACGCTTGTGATTGATTTCGTTAGTGGTTAACTGGATCTTAAAAATTGCATCATATGATATAAAGTGTGGTGTCTGTAGTTCTCAGACTTGAAACTATGGTGTCAGTGTCTCAATTTAAATTTCTTATGATAAGTACTGTATATGTTGATGACCATATACAAGCCACTAGTCAGAGTTTTCTATGTAGCTTCACTGAATAATTTAGTTACAAGGAAAATATTTGCATCGTATTGATTAAAAAGTAGATCAAATCATATTATGGAAACCATGTACGTTACAAATCCTCTGCTAAGGAATTTGTGAATGCTGTCACCTTCTCACTAGGAAGATGTTTGAGATTTTTCTACAGAATCCTCTTTTCAAAAGTTCAAATATTCATGATATGTATATTGAGGGTCAATTTTTAAGTTTTGTTTTTTCTTTTTTACAATACCCCGCATCCTTGTTTTGCCTTGGTTATTTTAGCGATAAATATCTTTGTGGCATTTTTCGTTCTACTCTTACTGCTAGCAAAGTCAATGCCCAGTGCGATTAAAAATTTTCCAATAATAGGTAAGATAGTTCCACTTATTTAAATAACAGTCTATTTGATACTAATATGCTACTCTGTTGTAAAACCCTGCTATCCTAGAGTTGACCAAGGACAAATGAAGAAGGATTTGTAGAACACCGATAAAATTACCAATTGGTAAACTGAAAATAAGAAGTCCATCTAGAGTTTAGCGGTTAATATGGACAGTTATGTGTTAGCGTTAGGGTTAGCCTAGCTTTAGAGGTAATGTGTTTGGGATTTAATTGACAGTTTTATGATCACATTTACTGACAAGGCTTTGCGAGTTTAGTTTGAATTCCAGTGGGAATCTGTTTTCATATCAGTTATTCACACTTTACGTTATTTATCTTTCTTAAAATAATCTATCTGAAGTTTTCATTTAATTAATGAATCTTGGAAAGTTAAGAAACATTTTACTGACAACAAATTGTAGATCTTTGATGGTTCATTGTAAATGTATTACGTTAAGTTAGGAACTGGAGTAAATTCGACAATCTATACTCTTATGTTCATAATATTATAGTTTCTCCAATCAATGTATATTATTAGGCCAAATTAAGATAACCGCTGAGTTGGTGCTGAAACTAAACAACTGTTAACTGACAACCATCTATGATTATTTGGCCTCTTTAACTAATGAATAGTCACACCTTTTCCTGGCTTTATTGATTTATAGTTAAAGAGTCAAGGTTATTGTCCTTGTATGGCTTCTTTCCTGTGCATTATATTTATGTTATTTTTACCTTGTGGTTTTTAGACGTAGAATCTAACTGAAAATAGAGTCAGCCCGCAAGCAACTAACAGAAATTTGGACCAGATATCTAGCTAAATATGCTAGCTGTGAGAAATCATCTTTTGGGAGATTCCTTTCAGCTTCATATTCTGTTATGTCTAATAGGAAGGGGAAAACGAAGAGAAACAATGTAATGAAAACAATAGTATTGAGAATAACAACAACAATAATAATGATAGTATGAAATGAAGTTACTAATTAATATCTACATTCAAACACGGTTTACGTATGCATTCTGTATTTCCGTCGTTATCAGGCTCTTCCGACTGAATTTATCACAATAGTTTTGGATCATCGGAAAATTGATGAAACTTGAGATGATGTTTATGTTCACTCTTGTAGGTGCAAATATTTACAGCAGAATTTTTAAATTCTTGCATATTTCTCAAAGCACTTGAAAAAATATTTACTAAGCTACAGTGATGGAATGAATTTCATATAATATCATGCTGTTAAATGTAGCACACAGTGGTACAATAGTATTTACTTGAAGTTTTGAGCAGAGCTTATTGCTCATATTCATGTCGAAGTAATCAGACAACTTCATGTCTTAGTTTCATTTTATAGATCTGCTGCTTTTTCAATCTTTAATTTGATCAGTACTAAGATATTTTATATATCTGGAGACAGTGTTCAATCATTCCTATTATATTGGCGGCGTGCTTGGGGCACCAACATTTTTTCCCATCGAATATATTTTATGAAATTTTTTCCTTTCTGTTTGTTTTAGTTTTTTTAATGTCTTCTAAATGTATCATGTACTCTCACTTTTCTAAAATATCAAACTGTCGTTTCTCAAACTATTGACTAAACAAAGAAATAACGCTACACAATATAATTCCTAGGATACTTATATCTGGATTACCACCACCATAAACACATTCGACTTTGTATTCATCTCAAAGTACAGATCTGACGCTAATGTAACACCAGCTACCCGTTCCACACTAGTGCCTTTAATACTGCTATTATTAACACTATTCAGATGCAATAATCATTTCTTTTAAAAATATTGTACGGAAAGCGCATTTGTTGAAACATTACGTTCTGAAAATCCCATAATGCATCAGATATGTTATTTGGAGTAAGGCAATTATTAGAATAGTGGAGAATATTTGTAGCTCAGGTGGATCGTCTTGGTTGTATTGTGTTCTCTGAGCTCACAGAACACAATACAACCAAGGCACTTGTCATTATTGTTTTGCATACTAAGCGTTAAATTGATGAATGGAGATTCAGTGATCAACCTCTATCTCAACTTGACTACATTAGTCCTTAGCAACGTCTCTCCTTCTCACTCTGTCGTTTGGTTGTTTAACAGGAGTAATCAACCACCGACTCCATATATATGGAAAATCCTAGTACTAATCAAACCAAAGAATGAAAAAACAATAGAAATATGAAAGAAAACTAAGACCTGAAGTCGTATGATTACCTTGACATGGAAACGAGCGACAGAATGTTCTCAAAATATCATCTAGTAGATAACACTGTGTAACTGTATGCTACTTCAAATAAACTAATATAATATGGAACTATATTCTACTACGGTTCCCAAATTCTAAGCTTAAATTGATGAAATGAGTACTCCATAGGTACTATTGGGTTGCATATTCCTCCTTGTTTAACTTATTTTAAAATACTTCTAGCATTTTAGACGAATTGTTTGCTTCGTTTTATGTTCATCACAAACTTTCGCAACGTAATTGTGACTCCAGGATTCAAGAGAAGTAGTTTTTCTACTTTGAACACACACCTTTATTACACTATTTTAGCTTAAGCAACAGAAAAAAAATGATAGAATCCTCATTTGTTTCTATCTTTCACCTATATGATAGTATTCATGGTGATTGAAAGCCTGTTACTCAATCCTCACAGCTCTACTCATAATGCAAAGGAACCGCTGATGACAAATAATATCACATCGGCAAGAGATAGACGGATGCAAGGAAATGCAGCTTTCAAATCTTTAATGTTGATGGAAGTCTAGCGATAAAGTATGAAGTACAGTTATTAAATTAGATGCAGTGGTATTATGAGCTACTTTATTTGTTAGTTGTCGGAAATCACTTAATAGAAAGCTTTACCTGACTGAGTTTTGTGCCCATTTACACTGAACAAGAAGGTCGATTTACCACTTTTAGAAGCCTCATATTTGTTTTAAGATTTGAAACTGCATAAACAAGTACCTCTGAGCAATGTGTTGTGACTGAAATTCATTTCCTAGGGCCTTAATAACCCAGACAATATTTCTAACTCCAGATTTAGCTTCTTTACGAAATGCCTATTGGTCAGTTATCTGAGATGTTACTGTGGGAAATTCACAGGTGGTTTATGTTAAACAGTAATGGCATTCTTATCTTCAGTGACCTGTGACAGGAGTCTGAGGGACACAGGGATCATAGTTGATAATAGCCAATTGCCCATACAGGAATTTTTTGGGAAATTCAGTTCCCGTTAGCTGTAGTATTACAACACGTCATCATGATTTCTGTATTAAGATTATGTGAAAACATATCGATGTTGTAAGCTATTATTTTAAATTATCCAATGTATTTATTTTATTTGTGTTTTTCATCCATTTCTAATCTAATTTCAACTAGGTATTTTCTTTTGCTTGAATATGGTTATGGTAACTTTGTCCATATTTATGACTACATGGGTAGTAAATTTATTCTACAAGGGAAATGAAGGCCGACCAGTACCATTGTGGATTCGTCGAGTAAGTCTTCTATTGATGTGAAATAAGAGGCTTTTGACCGGAATTCTTGGATGTCATCGTAACACCTGATGATAGTTAAAACAAAAGGTAGCTTATAAAGAAGTTCAAACCCTAGACCTCTGAGGAAGTGGAACTCTGTTAACCAAACCATGATGCCACGTTACTGAATAGTTTTCAAATTCGATTTTGGTAGTAGGGAATTTTTCCCAACTATCATACTGAAAAGTGATTGATTGATGAATAAATTGCCTATAAACAAATCTAATATGGAACTACATTCTACCACAGTGCCCAAGTTTTTCACTTACAAAGTAAGTATCTTTACAGAAAGTGGACTAAGCAACTAATGTGCGCAAGGTAACATTGGCAAGTGCACTTATCACGGATAGTAGTAATGAGTGAAACACTGTGAACTAAAAGGTTGGAGGCAGTGTGATTGTTTATTGGTTGAGTTGGGATATTTATTGGATACAGGCTGCGTCTATTTAGCCTTTACTGACAGCAGATGAAACTAAGAAAATCAGGATCAAAGCTATGTTAACAAGCAGAGTTATCATGCTACGGCTATGGAAAATAAGGTGTGTTGGGAAGCTTATCCATCAGTAATATTATTTTTATACAAAGATGTATTAAGAAAATCCCAGTCTGTTTAGAGAATGAAAACAAGCTTGTTTTTCTTTCCAAACTTTTTTTAAGAATCTGTAGCTTTCAGGGTAAGGCTTTTAGCGATATCTTTTTCCGCCTGTCCTAACATGCTTGAATTATCCGGGAAAACTGATATCGTGATTCATTCAGACTTGATACTTAATTTCTCGTGGAAGATTAGTTACGGCCTTTGTCTGTATAGTTTAATACTGTTCCCCTATGTAAAGTAACCAGAGGAAAAATTCACTAACACTAAGTGATGCTTCATTATATCAGTCAAGTTCCACCCTTTTGTTTGTCGTGTTTATATTTGTTCCTCTATAGAGAGCTGTCGCACATGAGTTGGAATTGTTATCCTCTTAGCTTATCAACTATAAAACTGTTCTTGAATCTTCAATGCAGTAAAATACTAATAAATATGCTTTTCAATATATCATTTACACTCCACTGATAGGAATAGTCGGAACCACGTAAGTGGTTTAAAAGTCTCGGTAGCTAAAAGAGAATGCTTAAAACTCTTTTGTATTTATGGTTGAATGTAATAACTAGAAGTATCATTAGGATAAATAATGATTCACATCTCCAACTTAGTCTCGTCTATCTCAAGATTACATTCACATTTGTTTTTAACTCATTGTATGGTTTTAACAGATTCTATTCGATTATGTTGGCAAGCAAAATTTTTATTCGTAGTTGACTCACAGTAACATAAAAAGACGCAGGTATTCTGATAAAATCTTGCCAAGTAGTAGTTATTTTTACTTCTCAAAGTAAACTAGAAGCGTGGATAATTTAGCTATTGACATAATGTCTAGTCTGGTGAGTTGGATTGACTTTATCCTATCAAATAGCAAATGAGTGTCAGAAACGAATTATTCGGATCATTCTACTTACTGAGAATTTCCAGTTTACCTACCATATTTAAAGCAAGAAATACAGCTGAATAAAAACGAGCTTAGATGGAAAAAAGCTGGTTTACTTATACTTTCACTAGGACATAAAAGTATTCAGATTATGACTACATGAAGCTTCATTTATTACTATGTATGGCATGACACTGAAACAGTTATACATTGGTTGATCACTGGAGAGCAACCAATCTCATGTTGTCTAGTATCAAGTGCTGATAGAATTCTATCGATCATTTCGCAACGTGGCCAATAAACTAGGAGGCTCACCATCGCTGTGCACTTTGAGGGATGTTAGTTGGTTGGAGGCAACCAGTCAGCAGTCAGGACTAGACAGTATGAGATTAGTTGCCCCCCCCCCCCCCCAGTAATCAATCAGTGTGTGTAATTGAGTCCTACAGAAGGTCAGTCGCAGTCTTAACAGCTCATTGGCAACACTGGGTGATGCAGATTTGAATCTCACAGGGATATCAGTTTTGTCGAGATGACAGACACACCTTGCTGGTGAGTGCCAAAAGGCATGAAACTTAGGTCCAGGGCTTCCTGCCATACGACTCAGCTGGAAGGTATAATACTTAAGTGGAAGATGGGATGTTCAACTCAGTTGAATTTCAAAAAACTTTACTTCTCTATTGGTGGAGTTAAACAGTTTGTCAATTACTGATAAGTGAGCTGTGTTGTGCAAGTATTTTTTGCAATACTTTCTAAGGTATTCAGTAACGGAAAATTGCTTAATGAGAACAGTCCACTCTATGGAAAGTTGTTTCAGCTCACTAGAAAAAAAGTTTTTCATCTTCATGCTGACTCTTCTTTTTAGTTTTAAAAGCATGAAGACTACTTCTTTGAAGAAAAAGTTCAGGGTTTTCTATATAGTTACTTACTAAGTGATGAGTCAACGATAATTTTTTCGTTTAATTCATTCATTAGAACCTTTTAGTTATTATAATAGGGAGTACCTACAAATTAAATTGTTAAATGATGGAAAAGATTGGTAACTCAGGATGACGATGATGATGGATTGATAATCTGTTGTGGAAGTCTTACTACCAGATCTAGTGACATCATCATAACTAGCTTCATGAAGTTAGGGATATCCAAATGTTACATCAGTGTTTAGATAGTGCTTTTACTGCTCTTCGGTGTTGCCCGACAGTAATTTGAGAAGTAGATTTTGTCTCACTTTATTCTCTTTTAGGTTACGTTTTACTTAGTCGCACTGGAAGTGTAGCACGACTTAACCAAACAAATCAATAATCAAGCATAGGACTATATTAAAAAGTAGCGCAGTCTCACTCTAATGAAGGTTTTCTTCCAGAGTTATACAGCGAAGCATGAGATCAAAGAGGTCAAGGTATGATGCAGATTGCTTTGGACAACATTTAGGGTCAGCAAAACACTACCTAAACATATGTTTGGCATTTGAAAATGTCTTAGTTCTATAGGATGATAAATGTGCGAATGATCTGCAAATTGCGTGGTCCACGTTGACATTTCTCGCAGCTGAGTATCTCAACTTCCCAACTGCGAGGTCAAGAAGGTTTCCGTCATGATCAGAAGGTGCAATCTCACACACAGAATTGCTGCGAAGTGACGTAACACACTAATGAACAGCATGGGTAGTCAGAAACCCCTCAAGCTGAGCAGTTATCCAAGTTCAGGTGATTTAAACTATTAGGCTATGTGAGCTGATTTCGTCCGGGTACACCGCTGATCCGCTCGACCTCAAACCGCTAGATGGCTGTCCAGTGTTCAGGTCAATCTAATCTCGTTTGCTTATGCCTCACTTTTCTATAAAGATAGTGCGTATGATATCACCAAGCCTCATAGTGAAGATGCCATGTCAAAATATTCTTGCCTAGAGAACGCCAAGCCATCATCATACTACTTTGTGCCATTAGATGACATCCAGGCTGTAGGTACATGTTATTACATCATCACAAGCTGTTACCGATGCCTTTGTTTCGGAATGACTCTGAAGCTTACACTAGCAACAATTAAAATCACAAACTAAACCTCTTAATTTCATGTGAGTCATTTCTAAGGTGCCCTTTGAAGTCACTCTTATTCGGTTGGTGATTTCAAACTAAAACAACGTTTCAGTCATTCACAAAATGCAGTAACAGATGAAATAAAAGCCTTCTAAAGAAATTGTGCTACTACTCAAAAGTTTTTCAGCTATTAACATTTAGTTGAATACAAATATTTATCAGAAGATAACAGGAATAAACTTGAATATAACGAGATAACAGGTTTCCACATACGTTTCTTCAATATTCTGAAACAGAATAAAACGCAGCAACCATTAGCCTACTGAAGAGGTGGACTGAAGTTATCTCTCACATAGATTTCTAAGGGAAGGTAGTACTGCATTGACAAAGTTACAAGGTTAATGATCTGAATGACAGTTTCTTAAATCTCAGGGTTCGTAATTATCTAGACGCATCGGAAGAGGAAATTAAAGTCAAAAAGGCACCAACCACTTTAACTGTAAACTTCTTGTTCAGATTTTTGTCCTCTGGAGATTTGTGAAACACTGAACCACTACGAACTCTGTGATTCGTCAGAAATTCTTGATTTGTTGACAGAATTCATCTCATGACAAAGAGGTTTCGTGCACATGTCCATTGGAAAAGTGGATAAGGGAGCTACTTCAGTCCTCTTAATTTCCTCTGCATAAATGTCCTTGATGGTGTAAAATAGTGTTCAGTGATTATTGTTATCAGTGACACTAATGGAGACAATTCCTCTGCTACTGCACTAGAACATCACTGAAGTGTCTGTTATGATATAAAATTACTATGCACAAAACATTTCTACTTATATGGGAGCATCAGTTGACATTTTCCCACTGACAACATTTTCTCGCGTTGGTGATAAATCCACATTTCCTGCATTCTATATATCGAGTGGTTTAGATCTATTTATCAGAAACTTGCACAACAGGAAGAAAAAGGACAGAGAATCGATAACAGTTTGCCCACTGCTGTTTGAGAAATATTGCTTCATAACATTTCAGAATAAGCAAAGTTAGGTTCAACTACCGCTGGCAGTGGCATGGAACTGATTTGAAGTTAGACAGCTAGAAAAAAATCGAATATCAAACCAGGCTTTCGCAAAATACAAAGTTCGTGGTGGAAAATTCCACCATGGATTTCTATGGAAAGCAAGCATTCAGGTGGCATAATATAATCAGCTTGATACCGTAAATCGTGCCTAAATTGACTATGAAATTCGGTTAACTACACTCATATAAAACATCGCCTAATTAACTAGTTCATTAGTTATTAGCCGGTCTAAGCCCGGATCAAGAGGGAAGGTTGGGCATTAGGCTAGCAACCCTACCGCGTAAAGCCAATCCAGTTGCCAAACAAACATCTAAGCACAGAGAAAATATAGAACATAAAATCAAACTTATTCCTCGCTGGAATCGGATGGGCAAAGTGACCATGGTTGGTGAAAGTTTTGAGGACCCAATTAGTCGATGTGTATCCTATTCTCTCGATGAAAGCAAACGTAAGCGCAGCGACATGAAATGTCCACATCATATATGAAGCTGGCTAGCATAGCTGCCTAGATTGCAAAATAAATGAGGAGGGAGATATGGCACAGAAGTGTTTGAAATCTGCGAGTGAAGATGGAATGGAAGCAGACTCTCCAAACTGTCAACTGCAGAGTCAATAATCTACTCAGATATTGTCAACCACACAACAACCACCAGCACACTGAGTTTTGCAGTGGCTATCATGATGTCTCCAACAGCATCGAAGGCTCTCTCTCATGCAGTGAGAACCAATCTCCTCCTCCAGGATCAGCATCATGACAGCGAGATGGATTCAACTCAAAAAGAAGCAACGTCACAAGCATACAGTGCTACGCTATGCTACGCACCTACAAATAATGCAGATGAAGAGAAGAAGGAGGAATTCTACAGACAACTGCAATCAACACTGGACAAGACTTCATCACAGTTGGCGACATCAAAATCCTGATGGGTGGGGTGACATGAATGACGAACTCGGAGCAGACAACACAGGAAGAGAACTGATCATCGTCGAGAAGCACTCGGTGAAATGATGAATGAGAATGGAGAACTGTTTGCAGATTTCTGTGCATTCAAAGACTTGGTGATTGGAGGCGAGGCAGTGTGTAAAAACACAAGGATATTCACAAGACAGCGACATGGATTCGATTTCACCAGACACCAGGACACACTACACTAAAAATCACATCGACTTCATCTCAATGTGAAGAAGGTGGAGACGCAGACTACTTGACACCAGATCATATGAAGAAGCGGAGTAGATGTAGGTGGTTCACACTACTCACTTCACTATCTAGTGCAAGCAACCTACCTTCCAAATCACGTTGAGAGTCTTCGGAGAAGTTGGTGACGATAGACCACAGTTAAAGTTCAACTACCACCCAGAACAGAAACTGAACTCAACTGAACTGAACTGAACTGAACTGAACTGAACTGAACTGAAGGACGAAACCTCAAAGGACATCTTCACATCAGTCAGTCAGTCAGTCAGTTAGTCAGTGAGTCAATCAGTCAGTCAGTCAGTCAGTCAGTCATCAGGACGAAATGGGAGACATTAGACAACATGCGTGAAGAGACGTGAGTGTAAGAAGACTGAGACTGTGTGAAAGAGACGTGGAAGGAAACCTGCATAACCGTGTTAGTAAGGAAGAAAAGGCAAGACAGGAGAGGTCATGACAGGACAGGACAGGATAGGACAAGGAATGGATGTCGACGGTCACATGGAAGCTGATAGAGGAGGGAGAGGAAGATAGTGATATTGAAGCCGAAGATGGATCACTGCAGTGCAGTGCAATGCAGTGCAGTGCAGTGCAGTGCAGTGCAATGCAATGCAATGCAATGCCATGCAGGGATGAACAACGAAAAGAGGTAGTGAATGCAACCTGTAAAACACTACACTGGACAAAGAAGTGAAGAAGAAGAGTGTGTGCAAAGACAAAAGACACTTGTACGACACACTGGGTAAGTGAAACAGAACAGGCTGCTGGTAGGAGAGACGGAGACCTGGCAACACTATATCAAATAACCAGATTACCTACTGTCTGGGAAGAGATCAACGCAGATGAAACCAATGAAAGATAGTAGAGGAAACTTAGTCAACAAAGAGGAGAAACAAAGGACACGATGGACTGATCACTTCAGAAAACTCTTGAATCGACCACCACCACCACCACCACCACCAGCAACTCCTTCAGAAATGCCACCAGCGGCCCAGCCACAGAGCTATCAGTGAACGGAAACCCTCCGACGATTGCAGAAGTGGAGTCGTGAATACCGCAAAACTGCTGAAATTCGGGCAAGCAGTAGGAACAGATGGAATCCCACCAGAAGCACTGAAAACAGACACAGAGACAACAGCAGTGGACATGCCCACACCACTACTGTAGAAGGTTTGGAAGGAAGGAAGGAAGGATTCCTGCCTGTTGATTGGAAGACGAACTACCTCATCAAACTCCCAAACAAGTGAGACCTAAGTCTTTGCAAGAACTGGCGAGGAGTTGTGCCACTGTCCACACCCACACCAAATAAAACATTAAGCCGGATCATCTTGGAGAGACTAAATGATGCTCTGGATTCAAAATTACAACCGGAACAGGCTAGCTGACTGACTGGGTGGCTGGCTGGCTGGCTTCAGGAAGAACAAACCATGTATGGATCAGATTGCAAGGCAACGCTTCGCACCATCATAGAACAGAGTATAGAATGACAGTCAACTCAACTCAGCCTCAACTTCGTCGACTTTGAATAGGCTTTCGATAGCGTTGACCGAGAGGTGATTTGGCAACTACTTCAACACTGTGGTTTTAGTGTCACAAGTCTTTATCAACCTCATTCAACAGCTATCTGATATGCTGTGTGATGCTACGTGTCAAGTGATTCACAAACGAAAGCTCAGTGACGCCATCGAAGTGAAGTGAATTGAAGACAGGAGTAAGACAAGGTTGCCCACTGCCAACGATGATCTTCCTGATTGTGGTCGACTGGACTGGACTGGACTGGGCTGGACTGGACTGGACTGGACTGGACTGGACTGGACTGGACTGGACAGGACAGGACAGGACAGGACTGGATTGGATTGGACTGAATCATGCAACAGACAACTGTGAGGAGCTGTGGGAATATGGACATACGGTGACTGGACGCATGAAAAGACCCCAAGAGAAGATTTGGATTTCGCCGATGATGATTTATGTATAATGTCGCACAAACTCGAAAATCTACAGGCGAAAACCAACAAGTTGACAGCAGAGGCAGGACAGAGAAGACAGGACTTCAGGTGAACATCGAGAAGACATAGGTGATGAAGATACCCAACCAGCGGCAATAGAAACAACAACAAACACCAATCACCATCAAGTGGAGAAATCTAAAGTAAGTAGTCTCCTTCACCCACCTACCTAGGCAGCATCGTTTCAACTGCAGATGGCAGCGGTGGCATAGACGAGGATGTCAAAGCCAGGATCGGAGAGACAGCAAGACAGGCTTTCATTAGTCTGAAGTCAGTGTGAAGATCTAATGAACTGTACTGTACTGTACTGCACTGCACTGCACTGCACTGTACTGAGCATAAACAACAAGATCCGGATTTCCAACACCAATGTTAAGTCAGTGCTTCTATGTGATGGTTCAGAGGCCGCGCGTTGCGAAAAGCATTTCCAACAAACTGCAGATATAGATCAACAGCTGCCGCCTACACTCACTCAATACTGACACTGAAGATCAGATGGCCAGAATATAAGAATAAGCAACAAGGAACTCTGGGTTGCTGGCTGCAAACGAAGCAATCGAAAACCCATCGCTCAACAAATATGCAGAAGAAAGTGGAGATGAGTTGGATTGGGGATATTTTGAGAAAACCATGTGGGGGCAACACGTGCCAGACCAGGTCGTCGAGTGTAAGCGAAATGTGAAATGACGAGTTGGGTGACATGGAGGAGATGGTGTGAGGAAGGAATGGAAGCTTGTTGTTAGTGGTGGATGGAGGTTCAAAGGAGTGTAGAGAAGAGATTGCGATGGCGACGTGCTGCTGAAGCCCTATGTTCCTCTAGGAACCAAAAGGATAAATAATGAAGATTAATAAAAAAACACTCATACACATGTATTTTTTTCTTTATGCGATTACTTCATAAGTGTAAAGTTCGGATACTTCGGCAGAATGTAACTCCGTACTACACTTATTTGTTTGATATAGCATACAGTGATGCAGTGTTATTTGCTTGATAGTGTTTCTTGCATAAATTATCGTTCATAATCATATGAATGCAATCACATAACTTACAATAATCGGTATTTTTTTTAGTGATATCATCTCATATTCTTTGTTCTTATTGGTAGTAAAGTTTTCCGTATCTCTAGTGTAGGTGTTGCATCATTCCTAATGCATGTGTTGGGTGTTGTGTCAATGAACAAAGACTCAATAATCTCTTTCCATCTGATGATACTGGACTTAACTACAATGGTCTTATCCCATCCTATTTTATATGATAGGTTTAGGAGTTCAACATTACTCTTGGTATGTACTGTTTTAAGACAAATGTTGAAAGATTTCCATTGATTAGCTACTTCATTTTCATAAAATGTCTGCTTTCTAATCTCTTCTTCTTCAGTTTGTCATTGATGGATTGGGTCGGTTACTTGGTATTCGGCAAATAATCCCCCTAATTGATAAAACACAAGATTGTTTCTACAAATTCCTTCTTGTTCAGTTTCAATGGATAAGACTGGAAAAAGTTATCAAAGTACGGAGATCAATTGTGCTAGCCATGACAAAATGAATCCAAATCTCTCTCATTACAATAACTTCACTATAAAGCATAATTATGAAAGTAACAGTCTCAGCGATACCCAGTCAGATGCACATCTTTTATCAAATGAAAGGTTAACTTTGAAACTGCCAATAGAAATTAATTACAGTGAATTAGCAGAAACTTCAAACGATATCAAACAGTCCTTAGAGCAGATGAATATCAAACAAATGAAAGTTTCACATAAAAACTCTCTGGGTGCTGAGTGGCGTATACTAGCCTTGATTATTGATCGACTTTTTTTCATTATTTATTTATTTACTTTGATTACTATGGTTGCTCTTGTTATACTGAAAACAGATCTACCCGATACCACTTTGCAACTAATCAATAGAAATGTTGTCAGTCAGTAGAAGTGATTATTTGTTGCCCACCGGGTTTTGTTTTTTTAAGTGCTTCTTTGAATCCATTAATGTATCCATTTGTCTAATTGTTCCTTTATTTAAAAAAAAATGAATTTCGGACATTTAGTCGCGAGTCTACTGTTTTTTCTCAATTATTATTATTACTATTATAACTAATTAGAAGTGCATTTAGACCTAGACAAATAACTTTCGGAATTCTATTGTTTATAAAGTTTAAAATGTTAACTGTTTACTGAATAAATTTTGCAAAGCAATCACCTTTTTAACGTTTGCATTTCTGTAAGTGTACAGAATTGCGGACATTAGAAACCATTGTTGAATTTACAAGGATTCCAGTCTTTAATTTCTTTAATTAATATTATCATCCCTTTGATTTGTTTGTGCTTACTGTAACTTCAATTTTGAAGTCATTTCCAGTGACTTCTTACAAAGGGCTCAGTTAGAATGTTGTTTGTAGGCATTTTTTAAAATTTATCACTGCCTCATCAGATAGCTCACAAGACAAGATGAGGAGTTGACACCAGAGTTGATTTTTTTCTCCTTTATAATACAGTACAGTTTAAATCATCCTCAGTACCATACTTTAGTCAAATGTGTGTATTCTTGTGGATTTATGAAAAGTATGATGATGTTTGAATCAATGTGAAAACATTTTAATATGTGAACTGAAGCTTGAAACTGTAATATAAGTGCCACACTGTCGCAGCTGTGTATAATATATTGACTCTCTTATCAGTTATAATAATTATGTGACGAAATTCTTCGTGAAGTTACCTAAGTTCACTGTGATCACTGTTAATAATTGACAATAACATTTTAAAATTATGTACAGTCCTTACGTATTTATCAATAATTTATCAATTGTGTCGTTTTCAACCTACCACTCATTTCTTCTGGAAGACACCACTAAAAATATACGGTTCTTTTTGTTCTGGTATATTCAATAAAAAAGTCATAAAAAGTATACTATATTGTCCAGTTTTTTTTAGCATATTTGTGTATAAGTTGACGCACCGAAGAAGAATTTCATTACCACTATAATTATCTTAATTTACGTAGACTCTTAGAAACATTTAGTTATTTATTGTTCATCAAAGAAGAGAATTCAAACAATGGACAATGGTAAGCTGTTTTTTTCTGGCGTGCAACTCCTCAGGAGTGAGCACCCATGACCCCTAGAGGGACTGAAAGTAGAACTTTCGCGTTTCTTCCCAGCATCTACCAGTGCTAAGAAGCTCCAAATTAGGAGGAAACAGCATTTCGGTGCTCCTGGGCCTTCAAGGGTCCCCTAACTTACGTCAAACTGTGATGGATACTACCATGAAGTCAATCCACAAACCTCCAGAATTGAGCTCTTTAGTTTTGAGGTGCAAACAAACTTTTCAGATGACTTTGAACATAATCTTGGAAGGAGTATGAATTTTCTCTTCGCTGCAGATATTCATTATTGATAAGTGATATCAAGCGAAGAATCTACTTTTAGACCGTTTCCCTCAAAATACTCAGTGCAATGGATCTCAAGAATGATAGCTTCAGAATGTGTTAAAAGGTAATATAAATTGAAATTGAGGCATTTTTAGAAAACTCATGTCAAGTTTTCAATCAAGACAAGCAGGTCAAAGTTAAGTCTTAGGTTATTTTGATGCAACTAAGTACAAAAAATCTCCTCGAATTCTCTCACTACTGGTATCTATCAGTGATATGTTAGACTCGGTCTATACTCACATATTTCATGCAGTCATTGGTGTTCAATAGTTTTTGGATTCAGAGGATCATTGTTACCTTCTGTGACATTTGACAAGCCGAATGTATTTTTTGTGCACATAAGATGTGATTTTTTTAAACATCTACCTTAAATTATATATATTATCCTAGAAACTGGCCACAAATAAGATGATACAGAAATTTCGGCTCTTTAAATTGGACCATTCTAGTTCCATAGTCTAGAGGAGTGGCCGCCTAATCTCGTTATCATCTATTTAACAAGCAGTATTAACTGAGTTGGGATTGCCAATAATAGCCAGTGGTATGTATAGTAAAGTTTCTATACCCACACAAAAATAATTGGGATGAAGTACCAGGCAGTAGCTCAAGTTAACAAGATCTGAAAAAACTTGATCAGTACTTTGTTTTAAGCTAGAGAAGATGCATTTAAGGCTAGTAACGGACAACTGATTGACTCACAAAAGTTATTTATGAATAATTTGTTTACGTACTCATGAGTAGCTAAAATATCTTCGTCGCGATAGTTGAAGAATGCAGTCTAGGCAGACATAATTTTTCCGTAATTTTTTCTTAGTCATTGCAATTTCATTCAGAATTATTCAAAAAAGATACTTGGCTTATCCATGTTTCACAGCATTTAAGTCTGATTACATAAACTGTAGAATAATTATAAAGGTGGTGAAGAGTACAACAGGATAATGCAAAAGATCTAATTTATACTCTGATATTCCAAGACCTGAATAGTTGCACTGCTGACATTAACTTCGAAATAAAAGTCACATTAAGGCCCTGTTGGAGAACACTTACTTTAAATATTTTATAATAACACTTGAAGAGATTTACCTGAGAACGATACTGAAGAAAATATTTCGCCTAAATTTGGCTATCAATGATGTGCAACTACGTAATCACTGACACTAAAACTGAGAAAACCGGTGATAAAACCTTTCTCTGTACTGTGATGTCAGTGCATCTGAGCGATAAGCTACTTTGCCTAGCCACATCTGTTTGTTGTAAAGTTAACCGCTCCTGTGGAGTTGGTTAGACAGATTGAACGACCCGTCTTCACTTCAAGAAATACTGTCCGGGATGTTTAAGTTAAGGAAAAGCAAAATCTGTAAACATGTCAATACTTGTTCATCTAAAACATACATAACACAAGATGGATGAAAATCCACCTTTTATTATTGAATAGGGAGTACAAACACAATTCTCCGATTTCTAAGTAAGGAAAGAGCGACAGAAATAAAAGTCCTTGAACATTATTTATGTTAAAAAAAGACGCTAGTTTGGTTCCTTCCTCACCAATAGCCTTTATTTTTAGTTCAAATATAAGTAAAATAATTTTTTACTGGACCAAAATGACCACACGAGAATATCATTGCTGATATAGTGTCATCGTTATGATCATCTTTATTCTGCTTACCAATTTAAGTTGGGCATATATTCCTTATAGATTCATCATTTAATAAAAATTCAAACTCTTTTATGTAACTGTAATGTGGCAATAATTTGTTCCTTTCTGTTCATACACCTATAAACAATCTACTCCTATATTTGCAATGACTGATTACGCTAACTCCAATTCTGTGACTCATATTTGTATCAATATCCATGTTGATAATTGTTGAAATGGAACTGTAAAACTTGGTGAGGAATCACCGAAAATACTCATGTATAATTTAAATACTCTTGTCAATGTTTCTCCCACTTTTTGATGCGCATAAATCGCACCCTTCATATGAGATTGAAGCCTGAGCAATACAATTTCATGTAATGTTTGCCCACTTAATACGGGGCATAGTGGTATGAGGGTGGAATAAATGATTCCCACCTAAAAAATTGTTTCGCTAAAAGATAAGATGGTGTTTGTGTAGCGCAACTTAAAAATGTTATAAATGGTTATTCTTGTTACTTTATAGTTTCACTAATACTCCAATGAAGTATGTCTTGGTTTTCTGTCAGGTTCCATAGACCGTTTAATATTTGAATGTTGGATATTCGAAAAATGATACAGATCTTTCAAACCACTGTACATGTAGGATGGTTAAAAGTGAGAGATAAGAAATCCTTAATAGGAGTTCTTAAGCTCATTAGCACTCATTTGAAAGAAATATTTATAATCTCGAGGAAGATAATTAAATTTGCATGCCTCTAAAGATCTGATATACTTTTGACCAATTAATCATTCGAATTCATCCATCACTGAGTACTCTATGGGATGACATCGGTAGCGATTGCTACACAAAATAGGCATGTAGGTTCATACTCACCACCTAACTGTCAACTCCAGGTTTATTTATGGAAAGATTCATGAGGCCAAGACTGCATTAATCATAAACACATCAAATAATGAGGTGTAGGCTGCAGAAAATAAAACCTGTACAAGTTATCGAATATTTAAAGCATAAGTGGGGCATGTATGATCCCTTATTAATTGATGGTGATATTTTACTGTAAAATATGTATTGTTCTTCTAAGCATCTCCCACCACACACATTCTCTGTTCTCCATTCACTACTTAAAATTTCAAGTTTTATCCCCAGTAGAAGCGGTTCCCACTAAGTCGCGAAGGTTCAGAAAATTATTTTCTACCTCATTTCTTTAACAATCCATTTATCCAATTCTCAACTCTATCAGGTCAAGTTTGGATCATGAAGTCTATAAAAAGTAATAACAACTGATATTAAATCGGTAGAACTGCAGAGAGGGCGAAAGTAGAATACCGGAATCAAAAATAAGGGAAAAACAATGAAGCATTAGAAACTGATGAAAAATTTAATTCAAAATTAGAATGCTGGTATTGTGTGAAAAGTATTGTAATTTCATAATGAATGATTCCGTCGGTAATCACAAGTCTTGGTTATTGGAATAATATTAATAATTGTTGAGTTAAATGCTTAGTAAACAGATAATAGTTGGACGAAAATTCATGTCAATTCCCCTTTAGTCTAGCCATGTTAGCCGTAAGATTTCAAACTATAAGATTATGGGATATAAGAAGAAATCAAGTCTCAGTAGTAGTAGTTGTTGTTGTTGTTGTCTCATTCACGAAGATTATTATGAAGTTTAAATAATTTCATTAGTGATGACTACCATTGGAACGAATGACGACCATCCTATCATGAGTTCACCCAAGTTTTTCAACTTTGATAAAGTTTCCACCGTGAATTAACATTATTTAGACAAGCTTATAAAGTAAGGTAAGGGGATATTTGCTTGTGTAAGAAATTTGGTAATATAAATTGCCTACAGAAATGTTAACAGCAAAATTTGCGGCTCCACAATCATCGTTCAAACTTCTGTCCAACAATATATGCACGGCAACGTTGTATAATAGATGTTAAATTCGCTCCTGGAATGGTACTTGGATATTTCAATGTTCAGAAATAGCGATAGGAACAGGCATATATTTTGGCTGAGAGAAATTCACAATAATCGTTTTAAGTAGTCTTTCATCTAAGTGTGATTAAATGTATTGTTTCCTATTATCCCTGGTTATTAATATCATTCATCCCTTAGATTCTTAGTGGAACATAGGGCTTCAGTAGCACATAGCCATTGCAATCTCTTCTCTACACTCCTTTGAACCTCCATCCACCACTAACAACAAGCTTCCATTCCTTCCTCACACCATCTCCTCCATGTCACCCAACTCATCATTTCACATTTCGCTTACACTCGACGACCTGGTCTGGCACGTGTTGCCCCCACATGGTTTTCTCAAAATATCCCCAATCCAACTCATCTCCACTTTCTTCTGCATATTTGTTGAGCGATGGGTTTTCGATTGCTTCGTTTGCAGCCAGCCAGCCAGCCAGCCAGCCAGCCAGCCAGCCAGCCAGCCAGCCAGCCAGCCAGCCAGCCAGCCAGCCAGCCAGCCAGCCAGCCAGCCAGCCAGCCAGCCAGCCAGCCAGCCAGCCAGCCAGCCAGCCAGCCAGCCAGCCAGCCAGCCAGCCAGCCAGAGTTCCTTGTTGCTTATTCTTATATTCTGGCCATCTGATCTTCAGTGTCAGTATTGAGTGAGTGTAGGCGGCAGCTGTTGATCTATATCTGCAGTTTGTTGGAAATGCTTTTCGCAACGCGCGGCCTCTGAACCATCACATAGAAGCACTGACTTAACATTGGTGTTGGAAATCCGGATCTTGTTGTTTATGCTCAGTACAGTGCAGTGCAGTGCAGTGCAGTGCAGTACAGTACAGTACAGTTCATTAGATCTTCACACTGACTTCAGACT